GTTTATTTACTGTCTTAGTTGTGTGTGGTGTTTAATTTACATTTTGGAGACTGAGAGTCCACTTTGTTAAACATTCTTTTAAAAATGAAAGTTTATTGATTTATTACACTTACATATTATGCTTTTATAATTATTAGTTGTAAAACGGTCACCAGGCAATATTATCGTTTATCGCAATAAATTTTGAGACAATTAATCGCCCAGCAAAATTTGTTATCGTGACAGGCCTGGTTGTATGTATGTTGTATGTTGCATGTTGTCTTTGAAATTGGTTTTCAGGAATTATAATATTTTCTTTTCATTGTTTTGCTGATGACATCTGAATTTATCTCTCCTTCAAAGTGGGTATCTCTGCTCCACAGCAGCCTCTGTCTAACTCTTTATAAGATGTAAAAACAGAATTTTATTACTTGAAATGAAAACAGACTAAAATTATTTGTCCATGCATCTGTCTACTTTATGTGTTCATCACCTCTGCAGCTCGTTTATAAAACTTTATGGATTAAAGGAGCCACAGAACGATGTTGGCTAACTGTTGCACTGGTTTCCTGCAGGCCCAGGCCCCTTTCCCGCCATGTTGGATCTGTGGGGAATGGGTGGAGGACTGCAAGAGTACCGATCCTCTCTGCTTGCATCAAGAGGCTTCGCTAGTCTTTCTCTTGCCTACATAGCACACCAAGATTTACCTGGTCCACCTAATCGTATCAATGTTGGCGATTCATACTTCAAGGTTGGATGAGGTCCATGCTTCAGTTATCTGGTGGTTTAATTAAAGATGTTTTTAAAACGTTGTATGTTCTGTCTTAAAGGAAGCGTTCCAGCTGCTTCAGGATCACCATCAGGTGGTTTCAGACAGAATCGGGATCATCAGCCTCTGCAATGGAGTATACCTGGCCTTTCGAATTGCTGTTGAACTTGGCCTTAAAGTCGGTCACAGACCTTCCTGTCTGGTTTTGCAGCTGCTTTGCAAAATGAATGATAGATCTAGATAAATATTTAATGAGCCATGAATGGAATTTCTAAAACCTCGTTCTCTTCATTTTGTTCTCCTCTGCAGCCTTCCTGTTTGGTTTGTATTAATGGTAATGTTGGAGGCGGGGTGGCACACTCGAGTTCTGAGAATTTTGTCCATGATCAATTTAAACGGTAAATGAGAAGAGACTTGTTTCATCTGTAGTCAGTCACTGAGGCGAAAGTTCAAAGTCACTTTCTTCAAAATAATGGTGGTTCTGCTCAATTGCTACTGAGAAGCATCATTTCTTTTTCACGCAAAGCAAAATCAAAACATGTTTCCACATTTTTGCAGTCAGATCAGTGTGTCTTTTATTTTATGAATACTTTTCCTGCATACTTTTTCTGATGGGCATAGATCACTTCTGAAATACTGAACTTAAAACATCAAAGTGCAGTCAACAAACCAGTTTATGATCTCTTTTTTTCTTTTCCTTCCTCTCAGTTCAGTTGTTCAGTTTTTGAGTTGGTGTCACTGTCAAGCTGCATTTTAACAGAAATTTCATTTGTTTCTGAGATCATTCCCAAAATTTTAATGTACTTTAATCTCCATTTTAATATCAGCTGTTAGTTGTTTAGTCTTGATCTCCTCATACATAAATTTCTTCTCCTAATGGTTTAATTAAAATTTACAGTTTCTGATGAAAATCAACAGGTTAGATTGACATTTTGCACCCTCAGTCATAAACATCTCCATCAACCTCTCTATATAGTTCCTTTTAGTATTATTAACTTTCTGAAAATTAAAAGTCTAAAAGTCAACAAGTTGTGATAAAAAATTATTATGTTTATCTGATGTTTTGTATTTTTAGCTTCCTGAAATATTGCACGCATGATGATAAAGACTATATCCTGTTCAAAGACGTCACCTTACCTGCTAATTTCCCCCCTAAGAGGATCGTCAAGGTAATAAAACCAAACCTCTTACAGCTGGTGTTAAATGTTGAGTGATCTAACCTCCGACAGACTCAGCACATGAACAGACCCTCGTTGCTCTGTGTTCACTGGCAGCCATTTAAAGTTCATCTCAGTAACATTTGTTGTGTCTCGTGTTCTGCTTTGACTCGTTGTGTTTCTGCAGTTGGAGAAGACCGACTGCCCTCTGTTGATCATCGTGGGTGAAGACGATCTGTGTACCAGCAGCATTGAGAACGCAGACCTGGTAAAAATACTTTCTCATTTCAGTTTGGTTTATTTTACACAGATAGAAAACACTGTTTATGATGTTGTACAATAAGGTTTTTGTGATCGAACTTATCATTTTAAGAAAAACAGCAGAATATCGAATTATTTTAGGAATCAGTGAAACAAACTTTTTTCCCCTTTCTTTTATTTATTAAAACTTTTTTCGTAATTGATTATTTTTTTATGCATTCTTTCTAAGACAGGATGTATTTTTTGCCTGAGCTCTAAATAAAAAACCCTTTTAGCATAAAAAAGTCAAACTGCAGAGCTGGACACCTCATTTCAGGGTCACAGTATCAAAGGTCCTTGTCTGACATCTCATTCTTTTGATTACTCCGTTGATGTACTGACAGATGTGTTATGTACCTTTGGCATTACTCAAGTATTTTTTACTGATTTCTTGATAATCAGATTGAGGAAACCCTGAGGTCTGTCGGTAAATCCCACTTGGTGACCCGCTTTTCGTACCCCGGCGCCGGCCACCTGATCGAGCCGCCTTATGCACCAAACGTTCGAGAATCCATGTGGACCTACAAACCCAACAAACGTAAGCATTAATCATTATTTTCTATATAATTTATCTATCTATTTCCCATTCTATACTTATCCATACAGTTTTGGGGCACAGCAGCTCGGTGGTCAGTGCCATGGTCTTATAACCTCGAAGCTACAGGTTCAATCCCAGGTTGTGTCACAAAACCCAGGGAAAAATCAACTTTCATGCAAGTTAATCTGCTGTAGTGATCCCAGCAAGAAGCAGCAGTCAAAAGGAAAACAACTTGTCTACATAATGTTTGAACAGTTCTACAGAATAATAATATTTAGATTTTTTTTCATCTGCAGTGTTCATCTCGTGGGGGGGGCACCAAGCGCCTCACGCTGCTGCTCAGGAAGATGCCTGGAAAAAGATCCTGGATTTTATGGACGACAACCTCAGGTGCTGAATTGTTATAGTGGGACGTCAAAATGATGAAACAATAAATTTATCTGAGGGGGGGGGGGGGGGGGGGGGGGGGGGGGTCCCGGTTTCTGGTGGCCTTCGGGGCTCCGTCAGTCCATGGTCTGGGGTTCCGTGGGCTTGGCGGT